CCCTCCCTTCCTCCCTTACACTCTTTCTAAAATCAATAAGGGGAGGATTAACAACAACAACAAAAATAGATTCATCTGTTTATGGATACTTGGGTTATTTCCATCTTTTAGCTATTGTGAATAATGCTGCTAACATTCACATAGAAATATCTGTTTGAGTCACTGTTTTCATATCTTTTGGGTGGAATATATACCTACGAGTGGAATTGTTGGATCATATGGTAATTCTACGCTTAGCTTTTTGGGGAACTGCCAAATTGTGTCCCACAACAGCTGCACCATTTTATAGTCCCATCGGCAATGTACAAGGGTTTCAGCTTTTCGACATCCTTGTTAACATTTGTTATTTTCTTTTTGTTGTTGTTGTTGTTTAATTGCAGTGGATTTAAAGTATTATCTCATTGTGGCTTTGATTTGCATTTCCTCAGTGATTAATGATGTTGATAATCTTTTCATATCCCTATTGGCATGTATGTATCTTTTTGGAGAAAGTTCTTTGCCTATTTTTAATTTGGGTTGCTTATCTTTTTGTTATTGAACTGTTTATATATTCTGGGCACTAAACTTTTATCAGATATGTGATTTGCTAATATTTTCTCCTATTACGTGGGTTGTCTTTTCATTCTTTTGATATTGTCCTTTGACACACAAAAGTTTTTTAATGTTGATGGAATTTAATTTATTTTTTCTTTTATCGCCTGTGCTTTTGGTGTCATATTTAAGAAACTGTTGCCAAATAGAAGGTTATTAAGATTTTCTCTGTTTTCTTCTAAGAGTTTTAGCTCTTAAATTTAGGTCTTTGATCCATTTTGAGTTACTTTTTTTTCTTAAAGATTTTTTGTTGATTTTTAGAGAGAGAGAGAAAATTCAATGTGAGAGTGGAACATCACTTGGCTGTCTTTTGCATGCACCCCACCAGGGACTGAGCCTGGGATCGAGCCTGCAACCCAGGCATGTGCACTGACTGGGAATGGAACCAGCAACCTTTTCGGTACATGGGATGGTGCCCATCCAACTGAGCCACACCAGCCAGTGCTGTCCACTTCATTCTTTTGTATGTGGATATCCAATTGTCCCAGGATAGTTTGTTGAAGACTCTGTCCTTTCTCTATTGAATGTTCTTGGCACCCTTGTTGAAAATAATTGACCATGTCTGCGATTATTTCTGGGCTCCAAATTGTATTCCATTGGTTTATATGTCTGTGCTAATGCCAGTGCCATACTGTTTTCATTACTATAGTTTTGTAGTAAGTTTTGAAATCAGGAAGTGTGAACCCTCTAACTTTGTTTTTTAAAGATTTTTTTGGCTCCTCTGAGTCCCTTGAAATTTTATATATATTTTAGGATAGTTTTTTCATTTCTGTAAAAAAAAAAAAAATCATTGGACTTTTGATTGGGATTGAATTGAATCTGCATATTGCTTTGGTAGTATTGTCATCTTAGCAATATTAACTCTCCAATCCTTGAGTATGAGATATCTTTTCATCTTTATGTCATTTAAATTTTAACAGCTACTAGGGTCTGCACTTTGATTTGTCTGGCAGTTTGAAAAGTGATGTGAAAGGCTTTGTAGCTTGAGAATATTGAACTTTGCTGGTTTAGGAAATGCTGATGGCATCTGTCTTCAGGTATAACTGCAGATATGGTTTAGAAGTGAATGGTTATAAAGGCTTATACAGATTTGGAACCCATGTCTGTCCACACACAAATCAATGGGTTAGTTTCCTTTTCTCTTTACCATAGCCAATACCACCCAGTACAACCTGATAACAAATTTATAATGAGGAAGGAAGGGACCAGGGCTCATGCAGGAGTTCTGGTGGCTCATGCAACAAAATGGTGTCTCCCCTTGGGTGGCTGGACTCCTTATGGGAGATGGAGGCTTCATTCACATTGATCTAGTCCTGTGGTAGAAGACCTATAATACCTCTGTGTGGGAAATGTCTGACATTCATTGAACAAATGACATCATGGGAATCACAATGCTGGGGGATCAGGTACCAGGGAATTAGGCACCAGCTTCCTGTTGACTGACCTTCTGTTTTCTGTGTTTACATGCATCAGGTCTCTATGCCTCTCCGGGGCCTGCCCTTATCTAGGATGGCTCCTCTGGGCATGTTGCTTGGCTTGCTGATGGCCTCCTGCTTCACTTTCTGCTTCAGTCATCAGAACACAGTAAGTATCTTATCACAAGAGGGATCCCTATTGGGTCCAAAAAAGCGTTAATGTCACCAGGACTGCTGTGGGAGTGGGGTGAGCTTTCATTTTTCTTACGGGAATGTGGCCAGTGCTGGGTCATGGAGTCTGTGTATTTCTTGCCCTCTATCCCTGAACCCTCTGGCCTGTGTTTATTTTTTATTTTTAAAAATTTATCTTTATTGTTGAAAGTATTACAGATGTCCCCCTTTCTCCCCCATTGATCCCCTGCACCCTGCATCCACCCCACTCCCAGGCCTGCCTTATAACAATGTCTGTGTCCATGGGTTATGCTTATAGATAGATTAAGTTCTTTGATTAATCTCTCCCCACCTACTCCCCTACCCCCCCACCTTCCCTCTGAGATCCCTCAGTCTGTTCCATGCTTCTGTGTCTCTGGATCTATTTTGTTCATCAGTTGATTTTATTACATCCCACATATGAGTGAGATCATGTGGTACTGTACTTGTCTTTCTCTGACTGGCTTATTTTGCTAAGCATAATACTCTCCAGTTCTCTCCATGCTGTCCCAAAGGATAAGTGATCCTTCTTTTTTATAGCTGCATAGTATCCCATGGTGTAAATGTACCACAGCTTCTTTATCCACTCATCTACTGATGTGCACTTGAGAAGAATGTATGTTCTGCAGCTTTGGGGTGGAATGTTCTGTAAATGTCAATTAAATCCATCTGATCTAGTATGTCATTTAGGGTCGCTGTTTCCTTGTTGATTTTTCGTCTGGAAGACCTATCCAGTGAAATCAGTGGGGTGTTAAAGTCCCCTTGTATGAGTCCTCTAGACGTTTTTTTTTAAATAAATTTAGTTTTTCCTGTATTGGGTGCATATATGTTTATCAGGGTTATATCCTTTAAAAAAAAATCTTCATTGGTTTCAGAGAGAGGAAGGGAGAGGGAGAGAGAGAGTTGAAACGTCGATGATGAGAGAGTCATCATTGATCACCTGCCTCCTGCATGGCCCTGCCTGGGGATCGAGCCCGCAACCTGGGCATATGCCCTGACTGGGAATTGAACCTCGATCTCCTGGATCCTAGGTCAGTGCTAAAACCCTGAGCCACACCTGGCCAGGCGGGGTTATATCCTATTGTTGGATCAATCCCTTTAGTATTATGTAGTGACCTTTCTTGTCTCTCGTTATGGTCTTCATTTTGAAGTCTGTTTTGTCCGGTATGAGTATTTCTACCCCAGCTTTTTTTTTTTCATTTCCATTTGCATGGAAAATTTTTTTCCATCCCTTCACTCTCATCCTGTGTGAGTCTTTTGTTTTGAGTTAGGTCTCTTGTAGACAGCATATATTTGGGTCATGTGTTCTTATCCATTCAGCCACCCTAAGTCTTTTTATTGGCGTATTTAACCCATTTACATTTAGGGTCCTTATTGATAGATACTTATCTATTGCCATTTTAATTCTTTATGCCTATGTTTCTCTTTCTCTCTATTTCTACATCTAATTACAGCAGTTCCTTTAACATTTCCTGCAATACTGGTTTGGTGATGATAAACTCCTTTAGCCTTTTTTTGTCTTGGAAGTTCTTTATTTCAGCATCTATCTTGAATGATAGTCTTGCTGGATAGAGTAGTCTTGGTTTCAGATCCTTGTTTTGCATTACCTTGAATACTTCATGCCATTCCCTTCTGGCCTGTAGAGTTTCTGATGAGAAGTCCACTGACAACCTTATGGGAGCTTCTTTGCAGGTGACAGATTGGTTTTCTCTAGCTGCCTTTAATATTCTCTCTTTGTCTTGAATTCTTGGCATTTTAATTATGATGTGTCTGGGTGTGGGCCTCTTTGGATTCTTCTTGCTTGGGACTCTCTGTGCCTCCTGAACTTGTGTGACTTTTTCTGTCACTAGGTTAGGGAAGTTTTCTGCCATTATTTCTTCAAACAGGTTCTCTATCCCTTGCTTACTTTTGACCTCTTCTGGCATTCCTATAATGCGAATACTGTTACTTTACATGTTGTCCCGCAGCTCCCTTAAACTGTCTTGTTTTTTAATTGGTTTTTCTTTTTGGTTCTCTTACTGAGTGATTTTTTTCTACCCTGTCTTCTAATTCACTGATCCAATCCTCAGATTCCTCTAATCTGTTGTTTATTCCTTCCAATGTATTCTTTATTTCTGCTGTGTCATTCTTAATTTTCTTCATAGTTTCTGTATCTTTCTTCATGTTCTTGAGCATCCTTATAGTCAGTATTCTGAACTCTATGTCTGATAGATTGCTTATGTCCATTTCATTTAGCTTTTTTTCTGGAGACTTCTCTTGTTTTTTCATTTGGGGCTTGTTTTTTTGTCTCCCCATTTTGGCTGCCTGTTTGTGTTTGTTTCTGTGTATTAGGTTGATCTGCTAGGACTCTCAGTCTTTTTGGAGGGTTTCTGGTGTAGGCCAACAGCAGAGGCAGTTTGTGACTGACCCTGAGTACCCTCTTTGGAGCTATCAACAACCCTTGGCTTGAGGTCTCCTCTCTTGGGGACAGGACCAAGATGCACAGCAAAGTCTGCTTGTCCAGAAGCAGGTCAGGCAAAGACTCAAAGCACTCTGAGGTCTGCCTGTGCCCGCAGGTTGATTAATCTGATTCTGTTAATGAGACTCAGGCTGTAGAAACTCCACAGGGTGGGGCGAGAGGCTTTCCAGCAGGAGGGGGCAACTGCCCCCCCCC